TCCCCGCCCCCCCCCATTTTTATTTTCCCGGTTGTAGCGATGGAAGAGGACAAATTCAAAACCAACCTCCAATAATTAGATTCTATATGTAGAAAATAATAACAAATACACATACTTTTTTTTTTTCATATAATGGAATGTAGTTATTGGAGGGGTTGTCTTATTTAAGTAAATATTCCTGTATGTGGTTTGTAATGTAAAATGGCCGCCTTTAAACTAATGCCAGTGGAAGTGTTTCCTGTTCTTTATTTGTTGCATTCTGACAGAAATTGGAGATCCAGGGTAGCAGTTGCCTTTTTACCAGTGGGACCCAACTCTCAAAATGTCTCTGGACCTTTTATGTCCCTTTGTCATCGAAGTTTAATTTAGAAGGCAGTGCAGAATGATACCTTTTAAAGATTAATTTGTTCAGAAAGGCGTATACTTTTCATAGGCTACAGGCCCCTTCAGAGGTTATGAATGGACTTGCAGAGGGAGAGACACTAAATAGCAAGGAAAACCATACTATGGTGTACACAGTTTAATTTGTGGATCATGATTTGAGAACTTCCGGTTTAGCTTTTCCATTTGTAAAACTTGATTTTTGGGGTTATTCACAAAAGAAAGGGAATATGCATGGCGTCAGTTTACTATGGTTTTTAAAGAGACTCATTCAGTTTCCTTACAATTCATTTGGGAATTTATTTAGTAGTGTTGTAAATGGCAGCCAAGATTACTTTAGGTAGCTGTAACAACAAATATATATTTATTTGTATCTTGTACAGTTTGACAGCATGTGGCTAGTTGTGCATTTTTACAAATGGAAGTTGGTCTAGGAACATGAGGGGGGGCGCATTTTAAATAAGGGAAACAGTATGGTGTAACTATCACAAATGGCAACCAAAAATGGAGTTTAGTGCCTGGAACCACTTCCCCATCCCCCTTGTTTTCTAAACACATTCTCAAGTTGAAAGCATCTTTCATTTTTCTTATGCTTGGGTTACTGTTCTGAGACCCTTGGACAAGCTGAATACATGTAAGGATGACACATCAGTGTCAGCTCAAGGTGATTTATTCCTGGTGCTACAATTTAATTGGAACTGTAGTGCAGAAGTTTGGACCAAAATTAAAATTGCTGCATACAAATTTTTCTTTTGGTTCCTAGCTTGGGGGATGGGGAAGTTTGTCTTTAGTGACCTCATCATGAAATGGAAAGTTTTTAATAATTGGGCCACACTCTCATTTCTCTGGTTTGTCTAGTCCTGTGGCTTTTGACGTGGGTGTACATGCTGATTGTCAACTGAATACTTGCTTGCTTTCTTCCCTTTCTAAACTACCTAATCTTTATTTCTTCTGAGGTTGTTTGTTTGTTTTTCAGATGAGACCCTTTTTGCTCTTCCTGCTGCATCTGAGCCTCTGATATACTCCTCTGCAGGCAAGTTCTTTCTGCTAGCCTTTTGTCTGAGTACGTTCTGTGCTTCAGCTTCCATCTCATTAACACCTTCCCTCTAGCTTCCATTAACTCAAAAATTAGTTTGGGTCCAAGTATAGCATTTATCTTCTAAATTTTAAAGCTTGCAATCTATTTGCTCAAGATTCAACAGACTCTACAGAAGCAAACACAACTTGTAAACAAGTATAGCTGTCTGTGAGTTCTAGGATCTTAATGGAGGGTAATGTTTAGTTCTGTTAACAGGTTAACATTTTAAAGTATAGTTGCTCTTAATGCTTAGTAGAAAGACTTAGTTCATAATAACTTTCTGCAGTATTTTGCATCAATAGATTGTCTATCTATAATGGATATAGAGTGACCTTTCATTTTATACTCTGGTCACTAGCTTCCCTTGTAAAAGGGGAAAAATACAGATTGTTCCCTACACCTGGTTAAATGCCTGATGTTCTTGTGTGATCTGTTCTATGGCCTGTTGTGCTTTACTGTAATCTTTGCACTGCACAAAGTTGCTGCTGCTTTAACATTTGCCCACTTCTCTGCTAGGAGAGGTGAAGTAGAATAACACTTTTTAACCCGTATCTTTAAATGGACAGTAGTAGTTAGGCTAGAATTTAGAGGAATCTTTAATAACTAACATTATTTGAACCTGTCATAAAGTTTGTATTAACTTTTTAAGAACACTTGCATTCTCTAACTTTCCTTTCTGTCCATGGTCACAGAAAAAGTTATGGACTTGCAGGAGAAGCCAGGTAGCATTGTGTCGTCTGGTCAAGAGGATTTTACTGCTGTCCCGCTTGACACTGCTGCTTCTCTTCCTTCCTTCTCTCCTTTCTCAGCTGATCCTTTTAAAGAGCATGCAACCTTTGATATGTTATCAGAGGGATTATCTGCAAGAACCATTTACAAAGAAAAGGGAAGTGATATTTATAAAGAAACTACAGAAAATACAAGAAATCCATTTCTCATAGAGAAAAATTTAAGAGAAGCCCCAGAGATGGAATACTCAGAAATGAAATCTCCATCCACTAAAGTCGAAGCAACCATTGTCTCCCAGACTAAAGAAGAAATGCTGCTAGAAAATGGTAAAGAAATATATAGCCTAGGAAAAATCACTGCACAGCAGCAGGATGCGTCTCCAGAAGCCCATATGGAATTGTTTGAAAAGCATGATGAAAAGGAGTCTTCTAAGAAAGCAAAATATGATATTGATGATGGTGGTGAAAAGATGGCTTTGAAAGAAGACACTCCTTCAAGGGAACAATATGTAGATTTCAAACCATATGAACCAATATGGGAAGTAAAAGATACTTGTCATGGAGTTAGCAGCTTGAAAGAGGCTGTAATAAGTGAGGTAGATCGCAAATTAGAAAGCAGTTTAGACAAGAGATTTGATGCAGATAAGATGCTGACAATACAGAAAGATTATGAAAAGGAGAGTGAAGGCAGTAATGAAGATCTTTCTTTCCCAAGCACCCCAGAAGCTCTAAAGGGATCGTCACAAACTTACATTACGTGTGCTAAATTTGAACCTACCATAACATCTGAGGACAATATAGTCAAATCTCTTTCTTTGTTGGAGGATGGTGCTTCAGAAAACAAAACCGATGAGAAAAAAATAGCAGAAATGAAAGTCCAGACATGGATAGAACGTGATTTTAAATTAGTAGGCAGGCAGGAAGGTCTAGAAGCTGACTATGCTAAAACAGATACTTTATCAAATATATCATTTGATAATGCAGCAAATGTGCCTGAAGGTCTAACTCCAGACTTAGTGCAAGAAGCATATGAGAGTGAAATGCATGATGCAACATGTACAAAACTTACTTATGAAACTAAGATTGATTTAGTTCAAACATCTGAGTCCTTACAAGAGCCTTTGAATCCTGTAGCACAGCTCTGTCCCTCATTTGAAGGACCTGAAGCTGCTCCATCACCAGTCTTGCCTGATATTGTCATGGAAGCCCCATCAAACACTGGAGCTGCTTCTGCAGATGCTATTGCTGTACAGCTTGAAGCCTCCCCATTAGAAACTTTTACTTCTGTGGCTAGTTATGATAACGTGAAACAAGTGTCTGAGAAACCTCCACTGTACCAAGAGGAACTGAATATATCATTAAAAGAGGCTCAAGGAATAAAGGAAGAAGCTGCGTTCAAAGAACCTGATCATAAGAATAGGGCTGTTACTGAAGAAATAGAGACTCCTTATATATCTATTGCATGTGATTTAATTAAAGAAACAAAGATCTCCAGTGAATCTCCTTCACCAATCTTTTCAGATTATTCGGAGACACTGATAGCAGAATGTGTTTCGCAGGATGTGCCTGAACATAAAGAGCCTGTTGAAAAATTGTCACCTCAGCCTGAAAACGATGACGTGCTCAGCAATCAGCCAACACCTGATTTTCCTCAGAAAGAAAATGAAGTTCCATCATCTCTTACTGCGACAAGTAAATCAGTTGAAAACACTGGGAAGATTGGAACAGATCATGGAAGTATGGAAGAACTTGAGGAGCTGCTGCCTTCTACGGCCAAGCCCTATCTGGAATCTTTCCAACCTGAATTGGCTTTTTCCAGAATGCCGGCTCTGGTGCCTGTAGAGGCGGCTTCCATGGAAATAGACAAGAAGGAAAAAATTTCCCTTCAGATGGAAGATCTGAATGCTGTTGCCTATTCAGCTGAAATGCATATTGCTGAGGAGTCCAAAATCGGAGACAAAGTTCTTTTACCCACAGAGTCCTCTCCAGTCCAAGTGACAGAAGACTTTGTGACATTGGTCACCACTGAATCCACGCCTAAACTGGTGACAGAAGTCTTTGGTAAAGAAATACTGTACAAAGATGAGAGTAAAGAGATGACTAATGGGATCAAAGGTGAGCTGAGGCAGTTGCCTTGCCCAGAACTACCCCATGATCTATCTTTAAAGAATGTAAAAGTGAAAGCAGAAGAAAATGTTCATGTTTTGGAAAAACCTTCAGAGGCTGTAAACAGAGAAGAGCTTGAAATATCCAAGGCATCCTTGCTACCTGCAGATGTTTCATCTTTGTCTGCTGAAAAAGAGGTAGTTAGTATAGTAAAACCTGAAGCTCTTGAGAAAGAAGTGGAGAGAGAAGTTCCGTCTGGTAAAGAAAAGGAGAAAACTCCTGCTATATTTTCAGCAAAGCTGAGTAAATCCTCAGGTAATCTTCATATACTGTCTTGCATCTCGTTCCTCAGCAGTTTCTTTAGCTGAATTTCAGCATATTATGATTTGTTTCTTTTGAAGTAGATCACTGTATACATTTCATTATGTAACACTTCTGGTGCTACCAGCCTATTCTGACTATCAGTACTTTTTACTTGCATACCAGCCACACAGCATGGATTTCTTCTCTCCTCCTCCTCCTGGTGTTTTCTTGATAAAGAATTTTATGCCAAGCTAAGAGAACAGTTTAATGCTTATTTCAAATTCCTCTGTAGTCCTCTATTTAAAAGGGGAAAAAAAAGAAACCCAGGGCATCAGAAGCTGTGCAACCTAGCTGTTAATTGGGTGTCCCCGTGGTTTTAAGCTGTTTTCAACTAGATTCTTGTGCAAAGCCATATTATTGTAAGACTGAGCTGCAGAGGGTTGGAGTGATATAACCATCATGGTCCAGGAATTATGCGAGGGGCAAGGATTGGGTGGTGATTTTAATAATTAGACCAACGGCATGGTTGGGATAAGCTTAGACGAGCTTTCAAATGAGAAGCATTCATCAGGTCTGAGGAAAGAAGCAGGCACAGCAATGATTAAAAATGGCATGGAGGTCTGTGAAATTGGAGAAGAAACAAATTTCCAGGGGTAATAGAGGGTATATTTAATCTATTTTGTGTCTAAGTTTTTTGTTTTGTTTTTAATTCCAAGTGCTTTTATTTCTTATACAGAGTTCATTTGGAGATCTTAAGTTTTCTGAGTGCTATCTCTTCTGTCACTACATGTAAAGCTTATAACCAGAAAAGACTGGGAGGCTGTTAGGTCTCCATTGGCCTAGACATGCATCAAGGAGTCTAACATTTAGGTTACTGGAAAAGCTGAGCATAAGAAGAGGTTCAGTATTCTGTGACCATTAAAATCCCTTTACTCAATACAGGTATATTGAGGACTTGTATTTCTTCTCCAAATAGTCTGCTCTGCTGAACTCCAGCATAGTATTTGCTGTCCAGTTATACTCTTAAATTAAAAGAGCAGAAAGGTTAAAGGTAGGTCTCTTGGCCATTTTGCTTCTTATACATGTTGCTCTCAATTTTATGCCACAGTCAGTTGCAGCTAATTTGTAAGATGCAGTAAAGCTGTGCTTGGCTTCCTGCCTCCCACTGCTGTGCCTGTGCTGGAAAGGTTCCTGTGAATTATACATAAGCCTATGACTTAGTGGAAAACTACTTCTAGCACGGGCAGTCTATCCTTAGCTTTCAGTTTGGTATTAATGTGAATACCTATAAATCAGCAATAATTTGGATGTATGTATTTAATAGTAATCTACATTCTGAAAAAATCTTGTTTTACCACATGCATCCTGTCCAGTTTTTAGCTTTTTGTTTTGTGTAGACTCCATGTTATGTGTATACATCTTGCCTCTAATTCTGGTGTTTGAATGTGTGGCTGTATTATTTGCCCTATTTTACACCTAGGAATTCAGGTTTTTAAAGACTGGACAACCTCTGAAATTATGTGCATGTATCTTTTTTTCCTAGTAGTCAGTGTTCTTCTTTCTTAAGTTTTTTACCTTTTTGTTTTTTTCAGATACAGTTGTCACTTAGTACAGTAGTCTTTGTACTGTCACAAAATTATTCTTTGTTGCTTTTATGAAGGCTTGATACCAGTACCAGTTGACTCTTCCAGTGCTTTTCTTGAAAATGGATTCTCCTTCATTCATTTGAACTCCAGGGCCACTTACAGATGAGCAGGGACATGCTCTTGCAGTGGCGCACATAGTAGCGGCAAAAACTTGCCGCTACTTTGTGCCACAGCTCACACCTCTGCAAGTGCCCTTTGTTGCAGGACGCATTGACCCACTGTGTGCAAACCCCCTGTTCCCAGCTCCTGGCCTGGCTTCAGGTGTGGCTGAGGCACCCTGCACCCCAGCCAGGTGAGGAGCAGCACATAGAAATGGAGGAGCTGCCTGCTTCCTCCTCTCAAGGCATGTTGTATGTAACCCAGCCAGCCACTGTGGCTGGCTGGGGTGCAGTGTGACTCGGCATGGGGGCTCTGTAGCGTGCAGAGATGAGCAGGCAGCCCAGAGCTGCTTGCTCCCCAGTTTCTGCATTTGTCCCAGCACACACTATTTTCTTACGCCTTGTGCTCCTTTTTCTTCCTGTTTTTTGTTTTTGTTTTTTGCTACTGGGAAATTTTGCCCATGCTGCAAATTAGCAGCGCCGTGCACAGTTTAACATGCAACACGTGCAGTTTGTGGCTCCACAAACCGCGTGTTGCCTGTATGTATGGACATGACCCAGGAGTTTGTCTTGGCTTTAAAAATTCCCCCACCAAAACTTGATTTTTCAAAGATGTTTTTCTGGCATATCATAAATATTATTTATGCTTAATAACCAGGATAAAGATGAGAAGTACTAAAATGAAACTTTTAATTCTGTAGAGTTCTCTTAGGCTGTTTGGAAAGTGAATTGCTAAGATTTTTTTGAATTGGCATTTGCAGCTGAGGTTTCTTGCTGGTCTTTGTGTTTTATAAAGTCCGAATCGTACTTTTTGTTTACTCTTTAAAAACATATGAAAGAAATAAATAAAACCTTTTTACTCAAAAATATAGCCAGTCAGTTTTCTAGAGACTGCATAAGCCTGGAGGAAAGTGCTGTCCTTTAAACACAAAGGAAAACTCTAGGGAGATAGCATAAATTTGCTTACTTAATACCCTTATTTTACTAGTAGATTCTAAGAAAAGCTAGTGTTGTATAGTAGTTCTTTGAGATGGGATATTAAATTTTGTCTCTTAAAGATATTGGAATATTTTCTTGAGAACATATCAGTTAAAGCCTAGAGAACTTCTGGACAGTTGGAACCTGGATCTAATTTGCTGACAAATTTTCAAACTGGCAAGAATGCTGAATCAGGAAGAGATGCAGTCCAAAATCTTTTTGTAGTTTTTTAGCACAGAAATGCACGTGCGCAAACTGCGTGCGTGTGCGCGCACTCTCTCTGTCTCTCCACCTTGTTTTGGAATTACTGACTTACGTAGCCTTTTTGAAAATCTCAGTGTAGTTAGAGAAGACAGCAGTTAAACAATTGTTTCTTCATTAAACCATACTATTAATACACAATTTTTGAGTAGTAGAACTCTAAATCAAAGCATTGATGAATATACCTCTCACAGTGCTTTTTCACGCTTAGGAAAAAAAACCTGGAGGGCAAACAATGGGTGTTTGTCTGTGGCCTGTTGTATCCATCTTTGTTCATCTCTACCATACTCTCAATAATTATGGCAATGACATAATACCTAGAAAAAACAATAGCCTGTTCATGATTTTAACTTCAGACCTGAGCATTAATGTTCACTAAAGCTAGTTTAACTTAATATTCAGGCAGACATTTGAAAAAACACTGCTGAGTGATGGTGTACTCCTTAAATACTTTGTTTTCCTGTGCCATTGCTAAAGGTCAGTTTAAATACCAGAATATTAATGTACAGGAGACCCTCGCCATTTGCGGTGGATACATTCCAGAGATCCCCGTGAATGGCGAAATACTGATGGGGCTCCCTGTCAGACCCCACAGACATTCCCTGCTTGCCCCACCCCCCATTGTTCGTGGGGCTCTCCTGTAGCGCCTGGGAACCAACCCCTTCTCCCCAAGTGCTGCCGCTGCCACGGCTCCTAACACCACCACGGATGCCTCCAGTGGTGGCAGCAGAGATGCCGCCGCTGCCTCGCTCCTCCCTGTCCCTGGGGTTCCCCTGCAGTGCCTGAGGACTGACCCCTTCCCCCAAGTGCCACCACGGCTGCCTCTGGGGGAGAAGATGCTGCTGCCTCCCTCCGTGTTCCCAGCACTCGCTCTCTACCATCTCCCGGCTTTGTCCTCCCCTGCAAATATTTGAACCCGCGAATCCAGAGTTCATGAATAGCAAGGCTTTCCTGTACATCCAAAAAATTGCCCTTGATATCTGGAGTGAACTGTAGTGCACTGTTTGCAACCCTTGAGAGTTTTTAACATCTAAATGCATAAATGTTGCAAAAACCTGCTGCTCATATACATCAGCTTTTAGAGTAATCTCTTCTTAATGGTCTAATTTTAAATGTAATTGCTGCCAAGCATATCCCTAGGTTTTCAGAGTTGTCCAACAATATACTGGACATAGGCCATAGTACTCGATAGCAAGATTGGGAGGGGGGAATAACAATGAAAGGAATTAAACCAGAAAGTGTGTGTATACATATGTATATAACATGGTAGTGTCTACATAACAGCTGTTGTAACACTCTCTCTAAAATTAGAGTTTGGTGCCATCTAGTGTTTATAAATGAAAGATAATTTATGGCATGGAAAATGCTGCCCAAGGGTGTGACATATTCCAAAGTAGAGCAGAGAAGTAGTAGTAGAGCAGTTTTTAAGATATTTTCAAATTGCTTTTTTCATTCCTTTTTTTGTAATTTGTATTTTCTAAAATGCTCTAGGGAGTTGGAAAATTTAAAAAGCCACTGCAACCTATCTTAATCCTTGCTGCCTGTCAATCTTAACTCCTTCAAGACTTTTTAGAGGATCTGAAAGTGATATTTGTGTGAAGGTGAACAACAGATAGCATCTTCTCTATTACGTATTCATGGAAAGAGGCTGCCAAATGTTCTGAAGATGCCACCAAACTACTTGCTAGCCTTAATGTCTACAAAATAGGAGTTTTGACAATGATATATTCGGAATGTAGAAGACTTTAAATGTCCAATATGTATATGGTTAAGAACTTAATGAATTTTTAATCAGAATGTTGGACTTTCAAAGCATCTAGCAACAGCAGAACATTAAACAATGAAACGTTGTCCCTTTTTTTCAGAGGTTAAGAGCATTGAAATCCATGTTGTGTACTGAAATCATCCAGTGGAAATGGCATGTTTCCCCTATAGCTTCTAGAAATTTTGACTGCCATTTGTACCAGTTGAAGTTGGTAGGGGCTGTGGGTTCTATTCAACTCCTGAAAATCAGATTCCTAATTTAGGC